TGTATCTCTCCCCCTTCCTTCCTTCCTTCCTTCCTTCCTTCCTTCCTTCCTTCCTTCCTTCCTTCCTTCCTTCCTTTTGGAACAGGTTCCAAAAGGTACACTAAATTTCACAAACCGGTTCTGGCGTACTGGTACGAATTGGGAGAAACCCACCCCTGAAATACACCCATCTGGCTGACGATCTTAACTGGGGCTTTATTTTTGGGCTAGGGCTTATATTATGAGCCTCCTGAAAAATCATCCAAGGGCTGATTTTCCAATTGGGTCCTATATTCGGGGAAACAAATGTTTCCAATGTCTGAAAACGGTTCAGCCTCAACTAAAAAACAAAGATTCAAAAGGTAAGAATGTAAAGCAATCTTCCACAACATTATGAGTAATTTCACACAATGTTGATCACAGTGACTAATCATTAAGCATGCATCTGCTAAAAGACATGCAAATCTGGCTAGGCTGCAGTAAGCCACCATGCTGTTTTCTAAGAACACATCTAAAGTTTATATTTATGTAGGACCCAGAAACTTTGCTGAAATAACAAGTTGTGCTTGAGGCTAGGGTTTAGGGCCACAAAATGGCAACATCCTATTCATTTTTTAATTAAAATAAATTTTAAAAAAATGGTAGGGCAAGAGGTTTAGTGAACTTTTTAAATTTCACTGGACAAAGCAAAATCCACTGACAAAATTTGTGTCATCATTTAAACATACAGGTCAGGGGTGTCTAACACAAGGCCCGCAGACCAGATGCGGCCTGTGGGGCCATCCTGGAAAATATAAGGAGCCAACCCGCATCGCTTCGGCCTGGCCTACCTGCATGACTTCACCCCAGTCTACCTGCGTCCCTTGTCTACTCAATGTGAAGAGGAAACATCTGGCCCGCATGGCTTTGGCCCAGTCTACCCAATGCAAAGAGGAAACATGCCAACAGTTTCGGGAGTGGCGTCAAGCTGGCCATGCCCACCCAATTAGCCATGCCCACAATTGGCCACACATACCAGTTAGCCATGCCCACAATTGGCCACACACATCAGTTAGCCATGCCCACCTGGCCCCCCAAAGTCCACCACAGCCCTGAAGCAGCCCTCAATGAAATTGAGTTTGACACCCCTGATATAGGTAATCCCCATTAGCAACCATTCAGAATTAACTACAGTGATGAAAAAGTAAGTTTTCAACTAATTCTTACATTTATGACCCTCATAGGTCTGTAGAAAGCCAAGAAAAGCTGAAGTATGATCATAAGTACAGTCGCACAGTTCACTTAGTGACTGCTATGCCCAATGAAGTGAGTTGCTGGCCCCAAATGTGGTCACTAAATAAGGACTACCTGTATTCTCCAGAAATATCAGGTGACTCAGAATTCCAGATGTAAAAGATGCTTTTGATAACTGGCAAGAGAGTTCATGGGGTGAAAGGCAGTGGTGGGATTCAGCCGGTTCGCACCGGTTGTTAAATTACAACCCCCACACACATACACTATCAAAGTGAAGAAATGGGCAATGGAGCGGCTGGCATGAGGGAAGGAGAAAGCAGTTTTCTCACTTTCTTCTCCCTGCTCCTCTTCCTTCCCTTGTGCCAGCTGCTGCATTGCCTGTTTCTCCATTGCATGCAAGATCCACTTTGATAGCGGGGTGATGGTGGTGGTTAATTTAACAATCGGTTCACCCAGAGTCAGGTTGGCCATCGCAGGAGGCTCATCCTGCATGTGCGGCAAAGCTGGAGAACAGAGATGGGCCACACCTTCCACGACAGCCAATCCGACCCTGGGCGAACCGGTTGTTAAATTATCTGAATCCCACCACCGGTGAAAGGGAATTTAAAGACTCAGAAGAGTCGGGGTTAGTCACTTGCAAAGCTTTTGCTGGGCATTTAGGAGGGAACGAGACAAATACTACTACCTGAGTTACCTAAATCGTAAACATGTTGTAGTACAATAATTGAAAGGCCACTGGGATAAATTCAGAGTTGCTTTTGAGAGGGAAAACCCATCAGGGTCAGGGAAAGTGAAAGGTCTTTTAGCCATTATGATGCCAAAAAAATCGATATTTTGCAAGCCATTTTATAAACAACGAGAGTCAAGATCTTTCCCTTGGCAGTTGGGGAGACCACACACAGCAAGAAATGTAAAAACAGAAGCCATGTAAAAAGAGAAATGTAAAAACAGAAGCCCTGCAAGAATCCTTCAAGTCCTTCCAAACCTTTTAAAAAGATGCTTACCTATAGTTTTAATGAAAAAAAAAAGAAATTTTAAAGACAAGAGGACTCAAAATACAAATTTTACATTTTGACTCCTTTTATTCCGTGCCATCTGGACTTTTTTCAGTTCCTTAAGGAAGACTGACTAATCCCTCTGGAATACTGATGTTTGGCTAGTTTAGGGGTTGGCAACCTTAAACACTCAAAGAGTCACAAAGGCCCTAACAGGAAGCCCACCTTTCAATCCTGGAGCCGACTGGAAGTCCGGTTCCCCCACCATAGAGTCTCCTCCTAGCACGTCCTTTTTCCTTTGCTGACCAGAAGTCCGGTTCCCCCCACTGTAGAGTCTCCTGCCAGCATGGCATCCTTTTTCCTCTACCTGTCCTCACCGAAAGCCCTATCAATTGTGGAGCAGACTGCAACAGGGAGCTGCAGAAGAGGGATGAAAGAGCCACATGTGGCTCCAGAGCCCCAAGTTGCTGATCCCTGGGTTAGTTATAGGAAAAGGGGGAAGTGGGTTTGTTTGTGAGTTGCTTCCCAGGATTGGAGGTGATCTTTCCTAAACAAAGCCAGTTATGTAAAAAGGACCATGGATGCATATTGCTCAGTAGTAAGGCCTCCTGTGTTACATAGAGCTTATTTTCAAGTAAATAAGAGTTTGGACAACATTCAACACAATACTCCTGGAAATTCAGAAAGGAATTTTAGACACAACCCTGGTTCTCTCATTAAGAGCTTCCTTTCCTTAGAATATTTTTAAAAAGCCAAATCAAATACTTTCCTGTGGCTACAATAATTGCAAACAAACCAACATAATCACCCAATTTTGGAGGGGGAGGGTATTCCCCAACACTTACTATGTAGATGGAGACAGACAACGGGATAGAGGAACCATTGCGATATTTGCATGGTTTGTGTAAATCACAACCAAACAATCCTTTTTAGCAGCAAGTGGGAGTTTAAGAAAGGATGGAAGCAAAAATAGGCTTCAAAAGACTTTTTCTACAACCCACCACGTTGTTCAAGAAAAAGGAGAAATGAAGAAAAGATTCTTGTTAACCTGCTGTATTTAGTCGAGGTCCCCTTTGCAGAAACAGGACAATTTAGCACTTTGACCTTAATGATTTAATACCTGTCCTTTTCCAAGGGATTATGGGAATTGTAGTTTAAAAGGCACAAACAGGTATTGTATTAGGTAAGATTCATTGGGGAGAGAAGTGAATGAATTATCCCTAAAACTCTTACAAATATTTTAAATGAGGTGTTCAGAAAGGGGGGTGTTAGAAACTTTCTCTCTTTTTTTCTTTCTTTCTTCTTTCTTTCTTTCTCCTTTCTTTCTTTCTTTCTTTTTTCCTCTTTATTTAAATTATTATTAAACTTGCTTTATCTTTTTTCCTTTGTCACCATGTAAAAAAACATTAAGCAGCAGTACAACGGAAAACTTATGCTAAGTGATCAGCTTAAGTTGGAAAATGTTATTCTTCAACAAATACAATGACCCAATCTTTTTTTTTATATTGCTATATTCAATATATTCAATTCTGGATTTAAAAAAAGACTAATGCTCATTGACATTGGCATCCTAAATTGTCATTAATATTGATAATCCTTTTTTATCTTCAACACTCCAAGTGATGTAAATATTAATAATCAGTACAGATATCACTGTACTGTAACTATATGTTCTATATTAACATTTACACCATCAAAAAGAAAACATTCCTACTATATAAGTAATTGGGTGCACATATAGTGTAGTGCTTTTAACCATGATTTACTGAAGAAAATGTTTTTGTTAGTTAAGCTGGCTGTGTCGGCAGGCCTGGGGTTGATGAGCTCCCTTCCCCTCTCGACAGGTGT